GAAGGCAGATGAAGACTTCGTGAGTCCTAAAGTCTAGATTTGCCTGCGAAATTGCTGGATTACACCTACAGAAAAGAATGAGGCCTTTTCCTATACAATAATAGGTCTCATATAATTTGAATGGGGAATTGAAAACATACATATATTTATATGTAATAATAATGGTGTGTGTGACTTAAGTGTACCAGAATCATGTATAGAATGGAGAATCGAAGAGAAATATATGTAATAATGGTGTGTGACGTGAGTGTGCCAGAATCATCTGCAGAATGGAGAATGGAAGAGAAATATATGTAATAAAGGTGTGTGAAATATATGTAATAAAGGTGTGTGACTTGAGTGTTCCAGAATAATCTGCAGAATGGAGAATTGAAGAGAAACTTATGTAATAATGGTGTGTGACTTGTGTGTATCTGAATCATCTGCAGAACACTCTATTCAGCACTTTTGCTCGCTCGGGGATGGGTTTATCTGCACTTTATTCCTCCATTAATAGACTTTGACGGATTCTATACGTTTTCATTTACATCAGTGAAGAGGAAACAGACTCGTCCTCGTCAGAAACAACTGGTGCAAATGTAACAAAGAACTCTTAACAAGTAATAAACAAATAAGTTATGATCAATTGTAAGCTTACTGGGGATTCCTCTCAAGTTAGAAGAAGCCACGAATCGTCTCTCTCGTCCTAGTATGGCACCATTTTTGGTTGCGATTGATCTGTCAAAGTCTAAAATAGAAAGAGTCCGTTGTTCCCATTGGTCACAATATTGTTCTTCATTGTACGGAGAACTAAAAAGGAGGAAAACGCTATGAGCCTATGACGGGCTATTAAAGTGGTGCAGCCAGGGACGTTCAAGCAGCGGAGATGGGCAGGATTTGCATGGAAATGATTACGTCAACAGTGAAAAATTGCATGAAGTTTCGGTCTTGATGTTTCTGGGTCGGGTCAAAAGAATGGTGCTGCTAGATTGGATCATGATCTTTAATTCTGGCCCAAATGGGTTAACAGAATTGGGCTCATTAATAAGTTGCCAACTTTGTGTCAAATTTGTAAAAGATTATGCATGCGTCATTTTCAATAGACAGTGTTAAAAGAACATGTACTTTAATTTTGTCGAAAAATTAGATTAGACTA